GTCTGGGTGTTAATATACATAGTATATACATATATACATAGTGCCTAATATTAGGATATAGGCAATAGGCCAGATATTAGGCATTGCAAAAAATTATACAAGTTAGTCTATCAGTTGTCTAGTTAGTACCCATAATACAAGCTCTGCTTACCTTGGGACTAAGTGGAGCTGTGATATAGTCCAACGACTCATCTTTAGTGAATTTATCAATTACTAATTTTTAGATATATAATTATTAATTCTGTATAGAAAAAAAGGTTTATGTTTCAATAGTTTTCAGATAATTATTCATGTTAAGATTGACTCTGTAATGATTCTGTGAAGCCACAGACTGTAATACTTTCAGAAGGTGTCATCTCTATCACTTTATATCTGTGATGTTCTTAAAGTTTTGAGAGAAGTAGTAAAATATTCTTTTTCTACAGAGTGGTCTGCAAACTCAAAACTCCCTAATGGAGGGAGCCATTAGGCATTCATCGATTCCTAATTTATCTTACCCCTTAATTGTTCTTTCTTTGCAATCGGTAAGTTAATCGTACCTTTTTACTTTCGATTTTAATCGATTCCGAACCGAGTTACTCGTAAATCTTTACGATAACATTATTACGGCCCTGATTTATTACTGTTATAAAGTTCAATATTAAAAGAAAAGAAAATAACGCGTAATTCGATAAAATAACGTTAATTGCTGGTAATTTGGCGTTACGATTTTAAAATTAAGATTTATAAGCCAATTTTATTTTTATCGCTCGCTCCTCAGATAGATTTGTTTTTATAAGAAATTGCTTTTTTAATTTTTAAGAATCTGATAAGGAATTCTAAAGAAATGCTGTGGTTTTCTACATTAGCAGCCAGTTATTTTGTGTTCTCGTGAGAATTTTTAAAAGATCTAAATGGATTTCAATGTTTCTCGTGGCATCTGTAAGTAATTTTATACAATAAAATTTATAAGAATATTTAATACCAAATTATATTGCAATATTTTCCCTTCTACGATTAACTTTAAATCCACACTGAGTGCGTATTCATATAGATATGCACAGATTTAAATTTATAAACAAATAAATTTTGAATTTAATTATAAAGCTATTCAACGAACTTTCAGAGGAATAGTGAATTTTGTTCAATTTGCCTTATAAGCAAGCAAAGGTTCAGTTTATAATTGTTTATCAGTATTTTTTTTTCTATATTATTTTTTATATAGAAACAAACTTAAACTAGCTGCACTTTATTTATTTATTTATTTATTTATTTGCAGAATACAATGTTACAAGTAGGTCTTACAATATGAATATTCGTTCAATGTATTCAGCCTGCTAACAGGCGTGCAAAATTTATACACGTTATTACTTTTATAAATTGAATTAATTTTTAAAGTATTTCTAATAATTAAATTAAATTATTTATATATTAAAATATGTCAAAACTAACAATTTTACATGTCAAAAAAATCCTTAATACTATAAAAACAATTTTCTAATAACCAATTATAAAGTCTAGATTTAAAAAGTCTAAAATTTTGCATTTTTATGTCAGTTGGTAATTTATTGTAAATTTTAATCATCATGTTATACTATTTTTTTCAAAGATTGCACTTCTATATATTGGTTTTAACAATCGTGTTGGGTCGCTTGGTCTAAGTAAGGGATTATTAGATTTAAGTTTAAATATATCAGGATGTGTTTTCACAAAACAACTACACTGATGAATATATAAACCAGATAGGGTCAGCAATTTATATTTTTTAAATAGGGGCCGACATGAATCTGTCTGTTTCAAATTGGCTATCGCTCTGATGCATTTCTTCTGAGTTATAAAAACTCTGTTGACCAGAGCACAATTGCCCCATACAATTAAACCATACCTAAGTACAGAAGCAACATATCCGTGGTATGCTGTAAGAGCAGTTTTTTCCCCTGCTGTATTCTTAAGACGTCTTAAGACATAAATAAATTTTTCTAATTTTATACAAACACTCTCAATATGTTGTTTCCAATTACAATGTCTATCTAATATTATACCCAAAAATTTTGTATGGTCCGTTTCTTGTATATTTTGATTTTTATAGTCAATATTTAATTTTAGTGGTTTAGCTTGATAGTTACAGAACTGAACGTAGGTTGTTTTAGTCAAATTAACTTTTAAGTCATTGCTATGTAACCAGTCATGGACTATTTTAATGGCTGTATTAATAGTGTCATTGAACATAGAAGTATTTCTATTACATGGTATTATAATTGATAAGTCATCAGCGAATAATATTGATTTATGACTTATAATATATGGCAAGTCGTTGATATATAGAAGAAATAGGATGGGGCCTAAAATACTGCCCTGTGGCACCCCTGATTTGTTTTGTCGACAAGCCGATCTATAATTCAACATTTCTCTTTTCTCATTAATTTTATTTATTTCCACACATTGCATTCTGTTTGACAAATAACTATCAAGCCATAAAAGTGCCTGTCCTCTAATACCGTATTTTTCACATTTATTTAGTAAAGTACTATGATTCACCATATCAAAGGCTTTTGTCATATCAAAAAATACGGCCACTATTGGCACCTTATTATCAATATTCTCAACTATATTTTGAATTAATGAAAATGCAGCAAGTGTTGTAGATTTATTTTTTTGAAATCCGTTTTGTTCCTTACAAATTATATTGTGCTTTCTGTTATAAAGTTCTATAAAACTTAAGAGTCTTGACTTAAAGGCCTTTTCAAAAATTTTTGATATTATAGGTACAAGGGTAATAGGTCTATAGTTATTTAAATCTAGCTTATCGTTTTTCTTGTATAAAGGTTTTACTATAGAGTACTTTAGTTTAGTGGGAAATGTACCACTTGTAAAAGACATATTAATTAAATATGTCAGTACTGTAGTCAGAATTGTTGCACATGACTTTAATACGTAAGTCGATATATTGTCGAATCCTACTGATTTCGTATTATTTAGACTCATCAATATTCTATATATTTCAATTTCAGTACAAGGATAAAGAAAAAGGCTACTGCTTACGGTATTACAGATTTTCGGTGGAGTTTTTTTTATAGGTGATTTATTGGAAAGACTTATAAAGTAGTTATTAAAAGAATTCGCAATGACTTTCGGATTAGTTTCAATTGTTCCGTTATGTAATATAGTGTCTATACCTCTATATATTTTAACGCTATCTGTTTTATCTTTAATTACATCCCATGCCGCTTTACATTTGTTTTTGGCTTTATCTATGGATTTGAAATTCGATATCCTTTGAGATGCAGATATACATGATTTTAAAATTTTATCATACTTTTTTAACCGGTATTTTGTCGAGTTTGTTTTATTTTTATAGAATTCTGATCTTAATTTTCGTTTTGTAATCGTAGATTTTTTAATTCCAGGTGTAATCCATTTAGGTTTAGACGTATTTGTTTTAACTTTGAGTCTAATTTCAGGAAAGCAAAGATCATAATACATGCTCAATAAATCATGAAATATGTTAAATGCAGAATTCAGATCCTTTTCATCATATACTTCATGCCATGAAATGCTAGATATACATTGTTTGAATTTTTTAATATTATTATTATTGTAGTCCCTTTTCATAGTATACCAGTAATCGATGAATCTTTTCTTTTAGGTATTTTATATTCCAGAATTTGGCATGTATTGTGATCAGATAAATGTACCTGATGAGTGGAGCCTTTACTATCAGGAATGTTACTCATAATAAGGTCAATGCAGGTCTTAAGCCTCGTCGGTTCTTTGATATGTAATGTAAGATTGTAATTTGATAGAAGATTTTTCAATTGTTTAGATTTATTGCTATCAATTAATATATTTATATAAGGTCACCTGCTATAATAAATTTTGTTTTATTCATTTTTGATGTCAATTTGTATAATAAAATGTCAAGTTTGCTAAAAAATGAATCGAAATTATAATAATCTGGTATTCTATATAAACATATTATTACACTATTAAAATCTGGTACTTCTATTCCACAGCATTCAAATGTCTTTTCTATTGACATGTCAGTACATATTTTTAATATTTTAAATTGAATTTGCTTTTTTATTAATATGCAAACCCCTCCCTTTTTTGATTTCTACAAAATGAAGATGCGACACTGTATTCTTTTAGGCTTATGTTTGCCTCACCTCCCTTTTTAACAAAAGTTTCTGAAAGACATAAGATGTCAATAAAAGTATTTTTATCTTTGAATTCACTTAAACACAATTCTACGCTATTCAGTTTACCTAGAAGTCCCTGTATATTTTGATGTAGCAAGATGATATTATTTTGATTTATAGTTTTGGTCTCGAAATGAATTATTCAATCGTTTTTTTGTTGTCTCTGAATTTTTACTTGTGTTAATTTGGTCATTACAAACAGACACTCTAATTTTATTTGTATGTTTAGAGTATGGATAGTCACTATATAGTTATTTAATACACAGATAAGTATTATATACTTAAACTAAATATATAATACATAAAAATAATACATTATAATTCAGTTATATTTATTAGAAGCTATCTGACTATTAATATTATTCTATATTGCCTTTAAGAAAAAATCTTATGTACCTGGACAATTTACAACATGTTATCTAGTCTCAAGTCAAGCAAAGCTTATGTTATGGGTACTAGACAACTGTCAGAAATACTTAGATATATTTTTTTAAATACATTGGTCTGGGTATTTTCTATCCATATTATGTTATACACAGAACATAGTTAGATCAATATAAACAATCATACTCATGAATAGAATATTTGTACCGTGCGAGCAATAGAACCCACGACCATCGGAGATGAAACTGAGTACTAAACCGCTAGACCACCGAGGCCATCAATAATACTTTAGTTATAGACATTCAAATTTCTTTGTCTATTACAAGTATGTGAGCTAACCTTAATAAGATACTGACAATACTCACAAAAACATAAAATTCAAAATCTGACAGTGACACTTCTCAAGAGTTATATTTGTTATTTTACCGTTTATTATATTTTATATATATGTGATAATTGATGGAAGGGTATGCATACCCGTATCCCCCGCCATTTCTACCAATGCGGGCCCCCGAGGGGGAATATCCTGACCATGGGGATGGATTTGTCGATTATTACGGTATGGAGGAATTGGACCAAGATCATGGACTAGAAAGAAGGTAGGTACAGTCAGGTACACAAATACATTATAATATAAAAACATCGGAATAAACCTATATAAACATTTGTTATATCTCTATGTAGTGTACAGAAAAATTAAGAGGTGCAGATTGAAAATTTTAGGTATAATAATACATTTCACTTATTATTACAAAAAAGTTAAATTTATTGTTCTTTATAATTATTCTAGAAAGAGGAATTATTTATTATTTCGTTGTATATTAAAGAAAAATAAATAAAGAATAAAAATACGTTTTGGGATATATTTGAATATTTAAGAAATACTATTTCTTCTTTTACTATTTCTGATTTTTCTTCTTCCATCAATATGGTCACTAGCCCCCGTTACTAAAAATCCCTTTCGAATAGAAATATAGAAAATCTGGTCAATATAATATATTTTTTGTATCTTTCAGATCCAGTCGATCAAAGTATCGTAGTCGAAAACACCACGATACCAGACGCTCTCGATCGCGTAGCATCAATGCAACTAAATCTAGATCCCGATCGAGGTCACGAACGAGGTCCCGATCGAGATCCCCATCGAGGTCCCGATCGAGGTCCCGATCGAGATCCCGATCGAGATCACGATCACGTTCCTGCACAGTATCGCGGTCTCGTAGTCGCAGTTTATCTGCTACTCGAAAGCGAACTCTCAAGGAACCTGGGTTTCTAGATGCTTTCCGAGTACTGTATTTGACACGTACGTGCTATTTTTATTGGAAATTTTGAGCTATTGTCAGGTGCTAAGTTCTGTAGCATTGCGACCTCCATATGCTCGCCCTTTTTTCAGAGTTCGCTACGTAGACCCGTCAGGGACAAGAATAGAAGGATATTCTTAGGAACGATGTTTTTATCTCCTGTTAAGAGAATTAATGTTTGGAAAGAAGGAGATTGTTAATAATGGCGATTAGAGCCATATTTCTAGCAATGTCGGGTCAAGCTCCAGACGGTTTCGCCGGGACACCAAGTGACCAATTGACCTGACCTCACTCTCATGGTCCTCCACTGATGCTACGCTATACAGTAGCGTAGCATCAGTGGAGGACCATTCCATTGCCATTTATTTAAAAAAAATTGTGTCTTGTATAATACCAGAGGTATATAAGAGAGAGTTTGGTGCATGTGTATCTCAGTGTCATCTATTTTAGCCGTCGAGCAGCTTGCTTTGTAAACTCTGTTTTGGTTGTAAACTGCAGATTAGGCAGTGAAATTACAGGATAAGAGGCATGATATATTAGTACTCAGGAATAGTAACACATGAGTGTAAAATGTAAACGTGATGCCCGTAGTCAACATCTGCTTCTTCCTTATCCCATTTATTTTGGGTCGGCGTAATATGTTTTCTCTTCCATTCATCTCTGTTCGCAATCATCTCGTTATTTACTCCCTTTCTCACCATATCATCTTTCACACAGTCCATCCATCTCTTTGTAGTATAAAATAATATATAGACGACGGTTTTCGCTTACCGATTAAACAAAACAAGTTATATATCTCACTGCTTTACCACAATGACAATTTAATAAAATGAATTCAGCAATAAAACAGCAAACTTGCTCAATTGCAGCTTATATATTTCATTTACCTGTGTACAAAACTCAAAGTCGTCCCTTTCGGATTGCATTCAAACCCAATTTGGAGTCGGGAGGAATCTAAAACTTTTACAAAACGACAGTTAACCGCTGTCTTCGACCGTAATTAATTCTTAATTCTCGATTCCAGCGAGCAAACAACAAAGGAGCGCTGCGAAATATTTGGCCACAAAAAAGAAGCAGGACCGCGTACAGGAAATACTGAAGAGTGACGGGTTAGGGTCGAAGCGATGGCTATTTTATCCGCGGTCACAAAACACCGTCTCGGTAACGCAGAACGCGCGACCGGTCGCTGGTTCGCGGGATAATTGCGATCAGAGAGTTAAGATCGACGGGGACTTTTTTAGGAAATACAAGCGGAGCAGCAAAGTGGCTACTGATGCGCCAATAGCCAAATTAAAGAGGTGGGAATTAATATTTTATAAGAAGTTAGGTTTTATACAGGCCGTTTGAGTTTAGTTACTATTATTATATAAATATTTTACGTTTTTGTGGTTTGTTTTTTTTTTACATTTTATGACATTTTTTACTGTCACTTGGATCAGTATTTTGTATACTTTTTTATAAACTACGATCTCGGTGGTCTACTGGTTTAGTACACCTTTTTATCTTTCAGATGGTCACGTGTTCAATTCCTCGCACGGTACGAACATTTGTATTCATGAGTATGATTTTTTTGTATCAATATGGATGTTTTCTATGTATATTATGTATGTATCTTCTTAGCTTGGGACGCTGCGTGAATTGTCCTTAAATATTAATGTTATTATAATTATATTATGTATGCATGTGTAGGTCGTTTTTAAGGGAATTTAACCGTCAAATATTGGAAGATGATGTAGCGTAAAAATCTAATTAAAGTAATGAAATAATTATAAGCAGGTCAATTAAATCAAGATACGGCCATTATTATTCTATTTTTATTTAAAAGAAAAGCGCACACTTCACATTTTAATCCTAATTACTTACATAAGAAAAGCACAATAAATCTGGAGGCGCTTTATTTTCTATAGCAACACTGGAGGGGTGAAACTAATGGTCCGTACCAAACAGGGAAACTTTTAAATTAGTACCGAATCGTGGAGTTATCGCGCGGAAAATTGACGTACTCGGTTCAGGGTTGCGGTTTGAGCACACCCTGTATATTGTCTTGGTTTCAGTTGCCTGATAACCTGAACTAGCACATTTTGTATTTAGTATTGTTTTCAATTGCCTGATGAATTCAAACTGGACTAGAGGTAATGAAGAAATAATGGCAAAAGCGAGTTGTTTGGAATGCTATAAAGCCATCAAAGTCACAAATTTCAGCCATCTATAGGCTGAATACTTATATCGTTCGCGCGGAAAATTGACGTACTCGGTTCAGGGTTGCGGTTTGAGCGCATCCTGTATATAGTCTTGTACTCAGTTGCCTGATGAATGTAAACCTAATAGACTTGAGGTAATGAAGAAATAATGATTACAGCGAATTATCTGGAACGCTATAAAAATGCGTTTCAGACGTCCATACGCTACGGTAACCATTTACCATCTGATGGGTCGAACGCTTATTTACTACCATCGTAGATTATAGAGAACAGCCTGTATCCTGTATATAGCCTTGGTCTCAGTTGCCTGATAAATGTAACCTGAACTAGAGTTAATGAAGAAATAATGGCAAAAGCGGGTTGTTTGGAACGTTATAAAAAGGCGTTTCAGGCACCAAAAGGCTATGGTAACCGTTTACCATCAGATGGGCCTGTATAGTATAGTCTTGGTCTCAGTTGACTGATTAAAGTAACCTGGACTAGAGATAATGAAGAAGTAAGAGCAAGTTGTTTAGAATGGCAATCGTTTAAATCAGATGAGCCGTATGTTTGTATGCCACTAAAGTAGTTTAAAAAAATATGATTTCATCCTCTTGCATAGTTATTGACGAGATGTCTATCATCAAACTAGAAAAATATTTTTTTGATAACTTCTTTATTATATTTAACACTTGTACCCGCGACTTCGTCCGCGTAAAATAGTAACCTTGAGCAAATAATTAAAAATATATATTAATAATCTAACCCAATAAAAAGTTTCATCGTTCTAGCTTCAAAAATGAAATTTCCATACAATTCAATCAACAGCCAAAAACTAAGTTTCAAACTACTATCTTTAAAATGAAGATACTTCCATACATACCATACATACATTACATCTCCCCTTTCAACCCCTTATAACCCTTTTTCTTGTTTTTTTTAATGCTACTTATATTAGTGTCATCATGTACCAATGATAAGATGTCGCTATACTGTAACCATTTATGGCTGAGTCCTGTGGCGGTAGGTACTGATATTTTCTCAACAGCCTAAAAAATGGGTTTCAAGTTTCTAGCTTTAAAAAATGACAATACATGCATACAACATTTTAACTCCCCTTTTGACCCTTACAACCCATTTTCGTTAATTATATTTAATCAATACGCAAAAAAATAAGATTGAAGCTTAAACTTTCAAAAAATTCCTCTTTCAGTCTCTTATAACCCTTTTTAGCATTAAAAAGTAACCTATGTCCTATCTCAAGATCTAGACTTTAAATTTCATTTAAATCAGTTCAGAAGTTTTGGTTTTTAAGACAGACAGACAGAGTCACTTTCACTTTCATAATATTAGTAAGGTATTTATTAAATAAACTGACCCAAAAAAGCGTAAAAAGCTTCATCGTTCTAGCTTCAAATATGACGAATTTCCATAAAAACTTTTATCTGCTATTTTATTTTACCCCTTGAATGGTGACAATGTGATATTTACAAATTTAAATGTCATATTTATTTATATTTAATAAACAGTTTAAACATTTCTTTAAATTCTTTTGAAAATTGATGGTCCAGTTGGCCAATAACATAATAAAATTTTGTTAAATCAAAATAATAGATGTGATATCCTAAATTGCAAACTATCCCTCTACTTGCGCGAACTATAGATGGCCAGAATGGAGAAACGCGTATTCCGAACCTGAATAGCTCGGATGGAACGGTAGATATTGTTTCTTCCAAGGAAATGTTGTTCATATGTATTGACAACATTTTTAATATTATATGTTGTTTTATTCTTCAAAAATATTAATAATATGTTCTTACGCTCTTGTCCAAGAGCAGGGTTATCAGTTATAGGCTGTACCAGGATTATATTTATCTATTTATAAAATAAAATTACAGAGCAAACGTTTATTCATTTAAATTTATAAGGAGACAACGGATTGACAATAATCAGTTGCGCGCGCAACATCGCATATGTTTATTTATGACATATGAGCGTTTATATGCCATGCGCATGCGCATATCTAGTACAATACTGGTATTACACAATTCAGAAATTAAAAATTTTTGAAGTTAGACTTAATACCACAGTTATAAAATAGACTTTCCAAAATTTCTAATTTTTGAGTTAAGCCATTATTATACTAAGTGTATATTCAACCGCATAAAGATAACCTTGCATTACCATTTTCAACCCCGTACACCCCTTGTTTCGCATTAAAAAGTAGCCTATGTCCTTCCTCGGCGTCTAGACTATACGGGTACCAAATATCATTAAAATCAGTTCAGTAGTTTTGTCGTGAAAGCGAGACAGTTAGACAGACAGACAGACAGACAGACAGAGTTACTTTCGCATTTAGAATATTAGTAAGGATTATTTTATTAACAAAACATAGTAAATGATGTATTTAAAGTTAATCTATACATATAAATAAGATTGGAGTGTTGTTTGTAATATTGAAATGACCATTTTTTACTGCATGCATATGAATACAAATACACATAAATACACCAAAATTTTTTTTAATTGTTGTCTGTCTGTTTGTTCCGGCTAATCTCAGAAATGACTGGGCCGATTTTGACGGGATTTTTTCGGCAGGTAGCTAATATAATAAGTAGTAACTTAGGCTACTTTTATTCTAAAAACATTATTTTATTTTAGAAAAATAAAGTATAATTCCACGCGGACGAAGTCGCGGGTACAGCTAGTAGGAAATAATAACTGATTTACCACTTCGGAGGAATTTCTTTCTAATATTTCTTTGGTCTTAGGTTCTTTAATGACATATTCTGTGAGTTTTGTTGTTGTTGCTTTTATGTAAAATCTTAATATACTTATAGAGAAATAGATAAAAAGTCTTGTCCTAATCTATACATAGTAAAAAACGAAGTCACTCCGCTGTCTGTTCGCCATATCTTTCTGTATGTCTGTTTTATATAATATATTTTTTTAAATGTAATCTGCGTGCGGCCGCACTGTGGGACCAACTGAAAATCGACGCTGCAAACTATGTTTCCGGCATTATGCTGAGTTGTAGTCCACATTGACTCTGTTTTTTAACATGTGTAAATTATTGATTGTATTTTTATAGTATATATAATGTATAGTATAGAGTTAATAAAATTTTATTCTATTCTATTTGAAGCTAATACTATTACATAATATGACACGATGGTAGTTATTTGTGGTACAAATAGTGCAATCTTGAACACCTCACGACTTATGTGTTTTCAATGATAATGCGCCTTGCTCGCATAATCTGAAAATAAATTCGGCCACTCGGTCTTGAAGCCAAGTTTTGGTACGGTCCGTAAAAAAAGCCATTAAATTGTAATTGATAATAATTTAAGATCTTCACGCACAAATAAAATCAATTATGGGAATATTACTAGACATTGTAGGTACCCTGTTTATTCTAGAAATAATTTTTCAATTAAATAATGTAAATATACCTAAAGGTCAATTTATGATCGCATTATAGAGTAAAATTTATCCCCTACTTTTGAGGGTAGTATTAAAATGCAATATATTAGTTGTTAAATTTTAGTTTATTTTAAAACATTAAAATCACCATAATTACAAAAAAAATCTCGTATATATCGTGTATATATGATAACACTTTAAATAGAATACACATCACACAATACATCTAATTTAATACTAAGATTAAACTATTTGTCTAGGTTGAAATCTGAAACTTCTGGAAGATTATAAAGATGAACTCTTGTTGAATACAAGATTTATTGCTTTGTATATGATTTGATCAACTTGAATATAAAAAAATGTGTATAAATGTATAGATACATAGGATGCGACCGTAATGGCTATTTAATACAAAGTAATTGAATGACATTATCTATCGGATAGATAGAAATATAGACAAAATAGAAATAGAAATAGAAATAGAAATAATCCTTATTCAAATAAACTCATTACAAGCACTTTTGAATAGTCTTATTTTGATTCTACCACTCATTCGGAATGCAGATTCATCACAAGAAGAATGAGCAAGAAACTTGTGTGTTGCTCTTTTTAATAGATGTTTTTTTTTACAAATTATTGCTTGCCTTATTTATTGCCGTCCTGAATAAGTAATCAAGAAAAATTATGTAAGAGGCATACGTCCAGCAGTAATAATTGATATTAAAGAAGAAGGAAAAAGAGAAGTTAGAGAGACATGATGATACTTAGGTATATATACATAGAACAATACAGTAGTAATAGATATTCTAACTACAAATATTTATATAGAGATACAGAACTCGCAACTATTGCAATATGAAATAGAATATCCATTTCTAAACCATAGTTCAGAAATCAAACTCCATTCTATACGCACAAGTAATATTCAGGTTTTAGTTACGCTTGTGTAAGGCACACTGCTCTAAAATTATTATATTCATTTACACTCGCAGACAGCTAGTGATAAAAAGTTTTATTTTTTTTATTGGGGAGTTTGAGCTTTTGTCAGGTGCTAAGACTTATAACACTGCGTCTTGTATAGATCTATTTTGCGCATCCTTATTCAAAGCTACCTAGACTCGTGAGGGACAAGAAATGAAGTATAAAAAGAGTTACTTAGGTTAATTTTATCTTCGAATTTTTTTTTTATCTATGCAGACGAAATTGTAGTCGGTATATACAAATAAGATAAAAAGACCAATATTAATAATCATACTCATGAATACGAATGTTTGTACCACGCGAGGAATCGAAAGTAAAGCGGCGTGCCAAACCGAAACCACCGGCGCCGGCGCCGTCAAATAGGTCATACTACTATGACTGTAATGGTATGTTTTTAATGCAAAAAATATATTTCATGAAAGAAATAAGTTTGTTTGCACACCGTACTTAAGTTGAACCGGCACGGGCTGCCTACGACATTTTTATATTATGGAGTGCGCACGCGACAGCAGATTTTGTCGTCGGTGCAATTACACGAGGAAACGTGTTCAACAGACATCCGGGGAATTTAAAATAGGCAGGCCGTGTGTACATTGGAACAAAATTAGATCACTACTAATTATTAAAAAATTATTTAATACGCGAGGAA